GATTCACCCAGAAGCGGTCGATGTTGTCTGAATGGCAATTTTACCCAATACCTTCCATGGCTATCTCTGCCATGGTTATTCGAAAATAACCTTTCACAATCTTCGTCCTGTGTACAAAGATCTGGTGACGGCACAGATTCAGTTTCCCAGAATCTTTTCATTACGAATTCTAGTTCTGGTTCAGATTGTAAACTCAGGTTACAGACTTCTGTATTACTCTCTGATGTTCCCATGAGTTTTCCTAGAAGTACCCAACCTAGTCTTGTATTAATAGCCATTGGCAATCCTTCTCCGAGAGATATAGAGCCATTCAACATAAGTTCAGTGTATATATCTGCTCCCAATATCATATCTATTGGGGCTTGTATGTAGAACTCTGGGTCTGCCAATTTGAGGCTCTTCAAAGTTGGCCAATTAGGGTCTTTTAACCTGAAGTTCGGAATTTCTGAAGTGAGCACTCCCGTGACTACTGCCTCCACCGAGAATTCCTCAGAATTATTCAGTGGACAAAATGTCACACTTACTGTCGATGAAGAATGCTGCACTGGTGTGTTTCCAACCCCTATAATCATCCGATCTGATTTCCTTTGGACAAGTCCCAATCTTTCGCAGCATCCTTTTGTTATCATGGTGACTTGGGAACCGCTGTCCAGTAGGGCTCTGCAGGTGCATAACTTTCCGAGTCCATTTTTTATCTTGATTCTAGCCGTTGCGAGTAGTACGTGGCTATCATTGCAGTTTGCCTGTTGAGTATTCGTTAAATTGATAGCACTTTCATGTTCCTTCGGAGTTGTGTTCTCAACTTGGGCCGAAGCGCCTTCCGTGCTCGGTTTATCATAATGAATCATCGTGTGGTGCTTTTCCTTGCATACTTTGCATCGTTGGTTCAGCCTACAATTCCATGAGAAATGGCCTTTCCTCAAGCAATTGAAGCACAATTTATGACCTTTTACTACATTTAATTTTTCTTTTAAAGGCATTTTGCAAAATAAGTTGCACATGTATAGTGGATGATGCTTAGATTTGCATAATATGCAAGTGTCCGATTTCTCAATTAGCATCCCGTAGCTTTGGCATTTGGGAAATCTCGATCCGGTGGTTTCTTCCCTTTTTGAACATTCCTTGACAGCACAAGACATGCTTCTCGCATGTCTGGAAATGAACGCTATGAACTTGTCATAAGAAGGAAGAGTGTTGTCCACTGACAGTTCCCAATCCAACCTTAGATTTTCACTCAACTTCTGCTGGAGGAAGTGCACCAAGATCACATCCACTAATTGATTCCTCTTCAATTACAGCGTTTCTAAGTTTCTTATGGCTTCATTACAAACATCCATGAATTCATGGAGACACTCAGCCGATGGATTCTTAATTGCCCGGAGAGAAAAGATTTTTGACACCTGGGCATAAGCTAGCTCTCTCGGGTTATCATATCTTGATAACAGTGTATTCCATGCTTGGCCATAATTTTCACTTAGTAAAGGGAAACCCCTTATTAATCTGGCCGCTTCGCCTTTTACTGCAGAATTCAAATATTGTAACTTCTGTATGTTAGTTAACCCTGGATGTGCATCGATGGTGGTGAGGAATAGCTCTTTGAAGTTGATCCAAGTGCCCATATCTCCATCATATATCGGTAAGTCAAATTGAGGCAATTTTATATTTGCCTGAGAGCCATTTGGCTTTATGTCCGCCAGTTTGTCTTTGAGTTTTCTCTCATTTTCTATTTTTACCCTCAAGCTTCCAATCTTGTTCATTGAACCATCATATGCCTCACTTTCTTTATCTATATCAACTTCATCCAAAGAAAACAGCTCGTCGTAGAGTTTCTCAATTTTTTCTTTTATCTCCTTTAATTCTTCACCCATTATTTCTAAGCGTATTGTTTCACCTGCCTCAATAATTGACTCCACAGTTTCATTAAATCCATCAATTCGCCTTATTTGGCAACTTAACTTTCTTTGGAGAATCCTTTCTTCTCGAGACATTTCGCAATTGTATTCTCGCTGAGTTTTTTCTTAAATTTCTTCTGTTTCAAATCCTAATCAGGCTCTTGAGGGACCATGAATCGAACTGGCTTTGGCCTCCTAGCACTAAGGAGGAATCACCGCCTAATTCTTATTTTAACGCTGGTTTTAATTATATGCTTCTTGACTCAGCGAGCTAACTATAACTCATTTAAACTTGAATAACTGCTATTGTCTCGTCTTACTAACTCTAATGACTCAACCACGTATACCTTTTATAACTCTCGTCTCACCAACTCTAATGACTCAACCACGTATACTTTAATAACTCACTTTATTTTCTAAAATCAAGATTATATACATTTCTAAAATTTACATAATTTAACAATAATTAACAAAAGTAAATTCTAACAATTTTGCATATTTAAGGCTGGAACATGGGTAATAAATATATATCTCTCTCTTAATATGGCATTTCTATAGCATAATATGCAGTGATATTGCAGAAACGATAAAGATTTAATCTTATATATCGTGTATACAATAAAAAATATTTCAATTTACATTTCCAAAAAAAAAAAACAATTATTATACATTTTATAGATTATTTTAATACGTTTTTTTAAAGATCATCTTAAAACTTCTTTCAAATAATAGCGTGATAATATCTAAGATGAAATATAACAGAAGAAAGAAAGAAAATTCAAAACCAAAACTACAGACGAGACAAAAAAAACAAAACTAATTTACATACCCTTTCAACATCCAAAAAACGGCGCCATATTGGCGCGAAGCAAGGATCCTTTGTGTGGTCCTTCAAACTCTCAGTTTGATGAAAACTTTGCAATTCCAGCCGACAAAATAATGGCCCTCCACATTTCAACCATAACCTTTAAAGGAAATAATAATAACCCACTAGTCGTCTGCGGAATGGGCCAATCAAAAGAAGGCCCGGTAAATGTTTCGCAGGCGAGTTATGCAGAGAGGACTGGGCTCATCTCCATACCGCCGGGCTCTTAAATTTGCCAAATGGTCTCGCAGGAAGTAAATGGCGGCTTTAAGAGGCACAATTATGCTAAGACCCGGTCCGGACAAAGAGGCGGGCGACAAAGGGCTGCGGGGGTGGCCACCTGAATCAGCTGTCTGAGTGCAGCATTTCACCTAATTGACGCTCGGCGCGAGACAAAGGTCTTTACGGCCTTCTTTATGACCCCATTGGATTAATTAATAAGCAATGACTCGTAAACCTCTCTCTGACCCCGCTCGTTATGCAAATCAAACGGTTTTATTAAGTGGGATTTATTTCCTTCCCCTCCATACACTGACTTGGATCTTCGCTAACACCAGTATGATAGTTTTCTAAATCAGTATTTTGGTTTGTAGCTTGCGCCCTTAGTTATGAAATAGCAGTCCATATATACATTCCCCCTCTATAAATGTTTCTGTAATAATTTAGAAGATTTCAACACAAGCTAATGTCTAATTCATTTTGGTAACCATTTCAATTTTAATGGAAATTATTTAAAAGAAAAAATATGGATGAAAATGTGAATTTCTTACTTGTTTTTCAAATAATGATCAAAAGAGATCTGTGAATATATCTTTATTTATTATAATTAAAATAATTATATATATATATGAATTAAGATAAATGGATAAATATTTATTATAAAATAAATGAAGTTTCCAGGGTTAAGTTTCTTGACAACTTTTTATTTTCAAGCTTTCGGACTTGTCAGTCCTTCAACAGGATTATCACTTAACAATTTAATAATAAATACAATTTTTATATACACATTATTGTATACATATTTTAAATACCTACTATATAATGAGAGAAAAATATTCTACACTATTTCTGTTTGAAAATCAAAATTTTTCGAAAATATAGGTGCGTGGTGGATGGATGATACGTGCTGGTTGAATGGTATCTCGAGACTTCAAATTTAATTTCTATAATAATAATATATAAATATTTATATCTCGTAAACTCTCCAGAGAGAGAACATTTAGTCAAATTCAGCGAAAGATAAATTTAAAATGAGAGAGAGTGAGAAGCAGAACAAGTGAAATTGTACTGGGGTCAGGTTGAAAAATGAAGAGAAAGCCATCTCTCCTGCAACTAAAAGCCTCTAATGGATTACGCCATCTGTCGGAATAAATACCAACCAATTGTCCATTTCATTTATTCGAGAATTGGTAGAATAACCTTATTCGAGAAAAGCTAACCACGTATGCATTTCAGGATGCCAGTCCTCATCAGCATGGTACAATCTGTACCTCAACGACCAAAAAAGTTGATCTTGTGGTCATCTTGTGATCTCAGTACAATTTCACCTTTGTACTAATGTTTCATACAGTTTGGCAGTCACATGTTTTTAAGACCTTAAACAGGAGTATATAACACACAGACCTCCTGCCACGGAGCCTGTCCACTATCGTGTAGCGACATTTTTATCTCTCTCTATTAACAAAAGGACAGTCCACCGGTACTGGTCTTGTCGCTGCGTCAGTCATCTCATCTGGGAGATCTTCACCATCATCCCATCTGACCTGCAGGGTCTTCGGACAAGGCCTGGATGACGCCATCCTGACGTCTGCCAAGAGTTGCCTATAATACGTTCCATCTTATTTTTATTGATGTTATTACAATAAAACGCTCGGCAGACACCATCAGAAGTCTCAAGCTTTACAAGCTTGTACAAAATGTGTGTTCCAATTTTAGTAGATGTACCGCCGAACAAGCGTGTACAAAATGTGTGTTACCATTTATATTGATAATCTTTGAAGAGAAATACCTGACTTGAAACATGAAAAAGAAAGAAAAGACTTAATCACGTATTTACATATTTACAAAAAGTTTTGTGCCTGCCAAAACAATAAATTCCTCCTGAGTACACCTTTCGCTTTATGAGAACTCTACACTCCAGCGCTCTCTCTCTCTCTCTGGCCAGAGGAAGGAAGGAAGGAAATATCTTTATTTACGAGGCTGCTAACCAAAATAAAATAATTTTTGAGCCCCAAAAAGGCAATAGCCTACAGCACCCGGTGTTCCCAGGTGGTCACCCTCCCAAGTACTGACCGGGCCCGACATTGCTTAACTTCGGTGATGGGAGTGGCCAGAGGAAAACAACAACAATAAATTTTTATAGTTGTAAAGCCGCGCTATCTGGCGGTCGACTTCATAGAGTTTGTTTTCTAGAAAATATATAATTCACAATAAAATAAAATATGTAAATATAACATATATACCTTTTATTTATGCGTTCAGCATCGTGAGGGCAATAGATATAAATCACCGAACACACAATTCAATGGTTAATTATTCCGTGTCGACAATTGAGGAGACATTTCCGGCTTGACAGGATCAACGGAACAGAGGATCAACATATGCAAATCTGTCTGTTAATTGGCTCATTTGTGTACGTTTCTTCTAGACTGTGTCCTCGTAATATATTGCAGCATACTATTTAATTTTGTATCAGCAGATTATTATTTTGGATATTTTGTTAATCAGCATATTTATCTTATTATATTTTTATTTGTCGTTAATAAGTTGGTAAATTGAACCAGACACCTCACCTGCCCAACCTTCCAATACCAGAGATTCCTGACGGCCACATTCTTAGAGATCACCAACCTAAGTACAGCATCCCTAGAATATCCCAAGAAATAAATCTGCCCACCTCAGTAATTGGACTTCCACTGACATTGTAAATAAAACCAAGATGTCAGCCCGGTGACTTCTGTACGTACCTCCAGGAACCTGGGGGTTATAACTAAATGAATAATAATAAAAAATTAATGTGTATTCATGATAAAATTGTGAAAAAGTTTTAAAAATACAAATATTTTCTCACAATGAGTATCTTTTTATTGGAAAAAAAAAACGCTAGCTTTCAAGCGTTAATCGCTCTTCAACGGGCTTACTAAAATATCGACTTTATCCCACCAGAAATATTTTTAAAATTTCAGTTATAAATATCCACGCTGCGCGCGTTTGTTTTTGTAAATATTTCTGGTGGGATAAAGTCGATATTTTAGTAAGCCCGTTGAAGAGCGATTAACGCTTGAAAGCTAGCGTTTTTTTAAATAAAAAAGATACTCATTGTGAGAATATATTTGTAATTAAAAAAAAAATTAATGTGTAATTGTTTTTGACCAAAATAAATTGCCTTATCATTCTTAGGTTTTTGTCTTACCTTAATTTTATACGTGACAATATAAACCAGATAAGTATTGTAGAAACATATAACACAAGACATTCTTATTTTACTTACATAGATACACTAGCGAATCTACCCGGCTTCGCCCGGTTTTTACAAGAGTGAAAGTTTGTGTTTAACGAACATTTGATGAAAATATATCTTCCGAGTAAACACACATACTCTCTACTGAATCTATTATATGTTGGTAGCTGCATATATATAGATTAACATATACGTTAATCAAAGACTATTATCAGACAATAAACAAACATGTTACATATTCTGGAGCGTGTTATAAAATTATGAATATTATTATATAATGACACTTAATGACCTATCTCTGCCCAGCTTCCTCCCAAGTGATTGTTTGCCAGGCGAATATCGCTTTAAAATATTGCCACGTGGAAAATTAAGTAAGACCAACTTCGGGACAGCAATTTATTCAAGGCAAGAACAAACTATGAGTGATAAACAAAAGATAAGCAAAATATAAACATTAAAAATAATACTCTGCTAATAAAATAATAAATACTTTGTGGAAAAAAAATAGTACAAATGTGATATTGTACTGGGATAAGGTGCATAAATTATAAAAAAGGCATCTCCTTATCGTGCAACTGAAAGTTGCTGATGGCTTGCGCCATCTATCGGAATAAATATCCACTACTCTCGTTAATTTCTAATTAATTATTCGCCAATTCTGGAATAATTAGAAATCAACGAGAATAGTTTATATTTATTCCGATAGATGGCGCAAGCCATCAGCAACTTTTAGTTGCACGATAAGGAGATGCCTTTTTTCATAAAATAAATACTTTGTTACAATATGTTATTTATTAACATGAAAACATCAGGCTACCGGGGTTAAGTTTATTTTACAACATTTGAATTCACAAATCTCTAACTTTCGGGCACGGAGTTCTTCTACAGGAGTCCACGTAAATTAGAGAGAGAATTGGGAATTGAAAATTTTGAAATAAATTTATATCCCTGGAAGCCTGATTATATTGATATAAGGGATTACTCCCCCATTACCTGCTTAATTGTACAGCCCTTGATGCAGAAAGGAAGGCCCTATATCAAAAAATTAAATGTACCAACATTTCACCCTACGTATTGCTTTCAAAAATATCAGCAAACAAATCTAAGGCAATAGCTTACTATACATTTTTTAGATCATCGTTATGTAAGGACCAGTACCCAAGTGAATGACTTTGAGACGAAGAGTAAAGCCAGTTCAATTTCTATGTAAATAACACAAGATTACCTTACCCAATTGGGAGAATCTGTATGGGGCAAGTCCCTAATAAAAGCTTCTGTGTGTGTGTGTGATACAAGTGATTATTTTATTGAAATATGTTATTTATTATAATGATATCATGATCTCTAATTATTACTCATGAGGAGATTCTCTAATATACTATTAAGCTTGCAGAATAAAATTTTGAAAGAAGCTCCTCTTAGTCTTTTTATGCTTATTCCTTTAACCAAATTTTAAGAGTTCTTATCGTTTAATACTATTAAACTTATCATTTTGTGTTTCTTTTTCAATTATTCATTTTTCATATTATTTCACGTTAGAGTGATAATATATGATACAATTATATAATAAATAATATTTGTTAAAGCATTCTTCAGTGGTAAAACATTCACTTTCGGAGAGAACCCAGGCGAAGCCGTGTAATATTTGTGAAAGTTTGATTTAAAAAAAAACAGCATTTTATTTTATACATACAGTTAAACCTGTCTATAGCGCCTCCTCTTGGGACTCACCAAAATAGGGTGATATTGAGAAGAGGTGCTATAGACAGGTCACTTTTAATGTTTACATTTTAATATTTAAAATCGGGCGCTATAGAGATTGAGATTGAAACTACTTTATTTTAAAGTCCATATAAGATTATATAAGGTTAAATACAGATAAATAAATGTAAAATATAAAATTGATAGATATACATGTATAAAAGAATATAGTCTTCGTTGGCGCTATAGAGAGGAAGGCGCTATTTAGAGGGGGCGCTATAGACAGGTTTAACTGTATATATACTCGCGTAAATCCCGGGCTCAGGTCATTCGGCGAGTTAGGAATAAATAATTCTATAATTTTAAATAATTAAATTTGTTCAAACAGGGTGTTTTTGGCTAAACATCCATTCTCCAGCTGAGAATCTCGACCTATTTAAAACTTTATTCAAAGCTATGATGATGCTTAATTATAACGAATTAATACCATCATGATTATCTTTAAACTGGTGAAACCGCTGGGAGGGTTCACCACTGAAGAGCCAGGACCTCGCATTAATTTTTGCATTGCAGTAAGGGCAGTAGAAATTGTTTAATTTTTATATATAAAAAGAATAATACGCGTCTATAATAGTTTCGAATTTTCATTATCTTCAATATCCATGAGAAATTTGAAGTTTTTTTTTTAAACTTTTATTATGATATAAATAACAAAACTACCGAATCTGTTCTTTTACAGATAAATTTGATGTTTGATACTATTCTCCACCAAAACTACCTAAAAAAAAACCGAAGGAAAATGTTGTACGTATATAGATGAATATATAGATTAATATTGCCACGTGGAAAATTAGGGAAGACAAAAACTTCAGGATGAGACAACAATTTATTTCAGGAAAGAACAAACTATGAATGATAAACAAAAGATAAGCAATGAGGGAAGTTTACAGAGTAGCAAGATATAAACATAAAAATGACCACTCTGTTAATAAAAAATGATAAAATAAATGTATACTTTGTTGCAATATAAAGCCACTCAAAGCCTAAAATTAGACATATAACAAAATTTTGCATAATTTGAGGATATTAAATGATAATGAGTATCATGCACTAACTGAATGACCTGGCTTCGCCCAGCTTCTTCCCGCGAGTGAATGTATTCCATACGAATATTATATTGTAACAAAGTATTTATTATTTTATTAGCAGATTATTAATTTTGATGTTTATATATTTTATTACTTTTCGTAAGCTTCCCTCATTGCTTCTCTTGTATTTTTATCAATTTGTACTTGCCTTAAATAAATTGCCGTGTCATCCTGAAGTTTCCTAATTTACTACGTTACAATATTGCCACGTGGAAAATTAGGGAAGACAAAAACTTCAGGAGGAGACAACAATTTATTTTAGGCAAGGACAAACTATGAATTGTAAACAAAAGATAAGCCACGAGGGAAATTTACAGAGTCGCAAGATATAAACATAAAAATGACCACTCTGTTAATAAAAAATAATAAAATTAATAAATACTATGTTACAATATTAATTAAATGCTATTCATTATGATTAATAACCATTTCCAGATTCAATTCTATATTCAGTTAAAATATCAGCCAGATTGGTTAAATATTGAGAAACGTATAAGGAACAGACAAATAAATAAAAACATACGTTAACTTTTATATAAAGAGAGATTGTGACAAGTAAGCGGGTTAAAGTAGGACACACTGGTTTGGTTCTGTACGCGCACAGAAGCTGGGGTATCAATTAGTTAAATGCCATAATTTCCTAATAGTTAATTGGTTAATGTGCATATATATGGGGGTCGGGATGGAAGCGGAAATGTGATAAATTAGGCTTAATTACCTCGTTTATATACGAAGTTCCGGCTCAGGTAGGCTCTTTGGCTCCCAGCATGGGACAACTTGACTTTGGGATTGTCACAGGACCCTGTGAACCTAGCCAACATTCAGAATGTCACAACGTGAAGTTGGCATTGTGCTTGTCACCGCACCTGTCACACTTAAACACGCTTTTATTCTCATAGGTAGTAGTAAAATGGGCACATGCACAATTGGCGCACTGAGGCGTTTTGGAGCACTTTTACCATTAGTGTGCATCCTGTGAGAGAGGCTACCACTATCGTATTATACATATGTAAATAAGTTGTTAGAGGGACAAACTTAATGTTTAAT